ACAAGAGGAAACTTACGAAAAGTCTCCCGCAAGGACCGTGAACAGTGGTGGCTGACAAAAGGCAAAGAGATGGAGAAAGCTTCGAGGATAGGCAACACTAGGCAACTCTTTAAACTCATCAGGGAAACGGGTGGGAGAAGGCAAATCATCAGTGAGACTATTTCTGAGAAAAATGGCTCCTTAATTAGCTCTCAGGATAGACGCCTTGAACGCTGAAAAGAACACTTTGAGAGACAATTTAACTTGCCTACAGCCACACTGAACCTCCCTGCCATCCAGCACAAATCCGAATGGGATATAGACACTGGTCCGCCGTCTGTAAGTGAGGTCACAAAAGCTATCAGTAATTTGAAACGAGGCAAAGCGGCAGGATCCGACGGAATTATTCCGGTGTTTAAATATGGGGTGACATACTAGTTTGTAGATTAACTGAGGTACTAGGAAAAATCTGGGAATCAGAGACAGTGCCATCAGACTGGGGTAAGTCACTTATTATACCGATATTCAAAAAGGGAAACAAGTCCTCGTGTGATAATCATAGGGGGATCAGCCTAACGAACATAGTCTCTAAAATCCTAGGCTCAGCAATCATGCATAGACTAAGCAGAACTCGGGAGGAACAGACAAGGGAAAATCAAGCAGGCTCTAGACCAGGTAGAGGGTGCATAGATCATATCTTCACTCTTCGACATATTCTAGAACATAGACACACTTTTCGGCGTCCAACAATTGTCATATTTCTTGACTTGAAGGCGGCCTTCTGTAACAACAGAAGACAAGGGCTGGCAACAGATGGTTTTATTACGAAAATCAACACGTATTTATATATATTTTATGTACATTAATAAGGCTTATGCAAGCAGAAAAAGGCAGTCTTCTGATTGGTTGTTTCACGGAAGTTAAGCAGACAAACACAGTCTTATGATTGGTTGTTTTCGATATTTCTCGGAAAGTAGAGCCATCTATCTGCGAATCATATTTGTCCACGTTTAAGTTTGCTGTGATTGGTTGTTGAAACAGCCTTGTTCATATTTTCTCACGGCCCATATTAGTGACCTAGACATTAACGTAGATTAGTGTCAACCAATCGGCTAGCAGCCTGCTCTCACCACACTTCGACTCCGTGGATCGAAAGGTACTATAGCAATGTCTGACTGTGAAGGGAGTGCCAAGAAAGTACATTGCACTAATCAAGGCACTCTATTCAAACTCACGTAGTCGTGTAAGGGCTTATGGGGAATTGTCATCTGAATTGGTGACAACCAGTGGTGTCCGACAGGGATGTCCACTTTCCCCATTTCTGTTTAACTTCATCATAGATAAGCTGATGGAAGTATCCTTAACTGAACGTAATGACTTAGGAATCGACTTGTTACCAGGGAATAGTCTTATGGACTTAGAATATGCAGATGACATAGTCCTGTTAGGGGAGGATGCTGACAAAATGCAGAGTCTTCTGAACACTTTGAGCAGCAATCTCCGTATGTTTGGCATGCGATTCGCCCTTACAAAATGTAAGATGCTGCCACAGGACTGGACCACGTCAACTTCTAACTTAGTGATAGGGAGTGAAGTGATAGAACATGTTGACCACTTCACCTATTTGGGAAGTTGTATTAGCACCAACAGACTGATTGGCGATGAAATCTCAGCACGGATTAATGTCCCGAGGACCCCAGCCTGGAAGCCTACACCTTCCTACGTGGCTTAGACCAACTGTTGTGGATTTCATTGACTAGTGCCAAGTTTTTGTTTGACCGCCGCTAGCTTTTTTCCAGCCTGACCCTATATCCGCTAACATTGCTCGTCGAGGGAGGCGATGGCTTGGCATACGTAACACATGTCCTAACCATCTCAGTCTTTGTAGCTTCACGACTTCGTCGATTGATTTCCCCTGTTTACCTAGAACTCGACGCCTAACCTCAATGTTGCTCACCTTATTATGCCACTTTACACGGGAAATAGAACGCAGGCACCTATGATCAAAGACAGCTAGTCTTTTCATGTCTTCCACTCTCAGTGGCCAGGTCTCACAGCCATAAAGGAGGACGGAGCGGACTGATGAGCAGTACACCCGCCCTTTGGTCGATAGTCGAACATCTCGTCTACGCCAGAGTCGGTATATGCGAAACGAGCCCTCTGTATTCGTGCTGAGATTTCGTCAGAGATCAACCCGTTGGCACTGGCTGATGGTACTTCCCAAATAAGTGAAGCGGTCAACGTGCTCTACCACTTCACTTCCTATTTTTAAACTAGGCGTCGATGTAGTCCAGTCCTGTAACATCATCTTGCATTTGGCGGGAGCGAATCGCATGCCAAACATTCGTAGATTGCAGCTCAAGGTGTTTAGAAGACTCTGCATTTTGTCAGCGTCTTCGCCTAGAAGGACTATATCGTCTGCATATTCCAAGTCAACGAGATTATTCCCTGGTAGCAAGTCAATCCCTGAGTCGCTGAAGTCAGTTAGGGTTAAGTCCATTAACACATCTATGATGAAGTTGAATAGAAAAGGGGATAATGGGCATCCTTGACGGACACCACTGGTCGTCATCAGTTCAGATGACAGCTCGCCGTAATCCTTGAGTACGAGTAGAGTGCCTTAATCAGTGCAATATATTTTCTCGGAATTCCCTTTACAGCCAAGCATCTCCAGAGAACTTCTCGATCGACAGAGTCGAATGCTGCCTTTAGGTCAAGAAATATAATGACTGTTGGACGCCGGTAGGAATGCCTATGTTCTAGAATCTGTCGGAGGGTGAAGATATGATCAATACACCCTCTTCCTGGCCTGCCTGGCTCTCTCGTGTTTGTGCTTCCCGAGCACCACTCAGTCTACGCATGATTATTGAGCCTAAGACTTTAGATACTATATTAGTCAAGCTAATCCCTCTGTGATTATCACAGGAAGACTTGTCTCCCTTCTTGTATATGGGGATAATCAGTGACTTACACCAACCCGATGGGACTTCTTCTGATTCCCAGACGCTGCCTAGTACCTCAGTTAATGCAGACAGTAAGCTGTCTCCACCGTACTTAAATACCTCTGGAGTCATTCCATCAGGTCCCGCTGCTTTGCCTAGTTTCAGATTGGTGACAGCTTTAGTAACCTCAGTTAGTGACGGAGGACCTGTGTCTATATCCCATTCAGGGAGGTGTTGGATGCTCGGAAGGTTGAGCGTGGCTGTGGGCAAATTAAACTGCTCCTCATAATGCTCTTTCCAACGATCCAGTCGTCTATCCTGGGAGCTAATTATAGTGCCATTTTTTTCCGAGATTGTCTCACTGATGATTTGTCTTCTCCCACCCGTTTCCCTGATGAGTCTAAAGAGTTGCCTGGTGTTGCCTATCCTCGAAGCTTTCTCCATCTCTTTGGCTTTTGTCGCCCACCACTGTTCACGGTCCTTGCGGAGACTTTTCGTAAGTTTCCTCTTGTGCAGCTTTCGCTCCTCATTGAATTCGGAGCTCGCCGGAATAAGTCTTCTAGCATCTATCAGTTCGGATGAGGCGGTGGAGATCCAGTGGTTTTTACTCACCTTTGGGTTTACCTTATTCACAGCTTTTACAGCTGTATCTATGGCTGCCTGGATATTTTTCCAAGCTTCTTCAGGGTGAGCACAGCTGTCGAACACAGATATGTGTTTAGCTAGTTCTTCCTCAAATACGGATTTAGTTTCCTGATCGAGCTGGGGACGTGATGGTTTTACCGCCAGCTGTTTCCTACGTCCGTTCAGTCGTAAGCACACCCGAGCGCGGACCAGTGCATGGTCGGTATCTACACACGTGTTCCAGAAGGAGCGACAATCTCCTACCGACCCACGCCAACGATAGCTTATTGCTATGTGGTCTATTTGTGTCCAGCGTTGGTTTGACGAAGGGGGTCTCCAAGTCAAACAGTGTCTCTCCTTGTGTTTGAAGTTAGTGCTTACAAGAAACAAATGATTATCAGAACAGAACTGTAGGAGACGGTCACCGTTGTCGGTTCGCTGGCACGGAACTCCATAGGTGCCACCGACATCCTTCTCAGAGCATTAAAGTCACCAGCTAGAACGACTATGTCTGAGCGTTTAGCCTTTCGCACCAAACTAGACAGCTTTTGGTAGAACTCATCCTTCGTTTCATCTGAACTGCAGTCAGTGGGGGCGTAGGCGGAGATTACGAAAAGGCATCGGCGAGTAGTGCAGTCCTTTCTCCTTCTTACTGATCCGTTCAGACGGACAGCACACATTCGGCTATCTACCGGGATCCAGTCAAGCAATGTCTTTTCTGCCCTAGTACTCAAAGCTATCCCTACGCCAGCTAATCCTCGTGAACTAGCTGTGGCATCTCCTGACACCCTCAGGGTGAATTTTGCAGATTCAACCTGTTGGCCAGGTGGGGTTAGGTGAATAACCACACTTGGGTCTTGTATGCGTGTTTCTGAAACACAATATACATCAATGGCTCGGGATGCCAGGGTCTTGGCTAGTGATGCTTGTTGTCCTATTTGGCAAAGTGTCCTAACATTAAATGCTCCTATATGAAATTGGTGGCGTGGCTTTAAGAGGCTGTCGGTGGTGGTTTTTTGGCTTCCATCGTTTTTAGTGGACGCAGAGTGGAGAGGAAGTGGAGAGCTATCAAGTCGAGGAGTTGCATCAGTGGAAGGAAGGCAAGATGATAGAAATGAAGATGAAAACAAAGATGAGTGAATAGTAGGTAGGTTTCGCGTGCGTTTCGGATTGTTAGGGCGATTGTTACTTCCCGGCTGCCCACACCGTGGAAGTTGGTTATATACCTTACCATAATATGAAGTTTCTCATGTTTTCAACGTTTCACATATTTTTGGAATCTCTACTGTTTATCTTCAGTTTGCGTGCGCTACTGTGAATTGTGACATTTCCAGTAGTTGAACAATGCTAGATTTATGCATCAAGTTGAAAACTGCTCCATTCATTTCTAAATATACCGATTCAACTTTTAATTTTCATGGTAATTATCCCATTTTATATTTGTTTTAATAATAGCCGCTATTTAGAAGAAAATGCAACAAAATCACGCCATATAGGATGTGCTAAACTAAGAAGAAAAAAATTTAATAAATTACACGATCTGATAGTAAATGTCAGTGGTTCTGATGATGGTGTTATCAATACGCATGGAGAATCGAACCATAAACTTCTTATGGATCGTGCATATCACACAACTTCTGACAAGAGCACTTCTGAAAGTAATGATAAACTTGGGAAAAGTGATTTGAAAAATTCTGTCATCCAAGAAAAGCGATTTTTTAGTGGAAAACATTCATACTATAGTCCACCTGATCAAGGTCAGGATAGTACCCAATCAACCAATCGACTGATACCACGTGGACCGTTGGCGTATAATAGTGATGAACCATTATCTTCTCTTATTAACCGTTTAACATCAAATAATAGTGATATGGCAGTGGATGCTAGGAATCACAAATTGGACATTAATAGTGATTTTTCTTCGACCAGTGAACAAAATGCTCGGTGTACAAATGCAAGGGTATGATCACTTCAGATTTTTTTCGTTTCACTCGTACATGTTCTTTGTAATTATCTCTCCTGATTTAGTAATCATACATTTCTGTCAGCTGAGATTTCTGTAGGGACTAAACAGTTTTGTACTTATCATCAACAGAAACCTTTAGTTTTCATCGGATGTGATAATTTCCTCATCAGAAAAAGCCCTATGGTGGTAAAGTTCTGGTTGAAGAAGTATTTGTTCATTTTGCCCTGCGAATCATAGTAATTTTTTGCTTATATAAAGTGAATTCGAAACATTGTACTGTTTATTGCTACTTGATGAATGAAAGAGTATTGCAGGTCACTGGTCGTTTGTTTTTTCTCTTCTTCAGCAGAATTACTCTGATTTTATTCAACATTAGAATATCCTGTTAAATAGTACATAACTATGGGGGTGTTTAAATTACTAAAGTGAACTTGTCTGAAGGTCACTTGTAGATAAACGCTTACCAAATAATTAGTCATCATATATTTGCATTGGTGATGTCAACATATCATCGTACAGTACGTGTTTGTCTGTATATATGTATTGTTTATTGTATATAGAGCATGTTAATTCATGAATGGTAATTACCATGATTGTCCAGAAGCTGAAAAACAGTAACGAATCGCCTTTATCTGTCAAGTGTCTGATAATTGTATTCCTTCTCCCCTATTATATTGCATTCGATGTTGTTAAACTATGCAATACATCAGAGATCAACATTTCCTCATGTCACTGAAAATCTCTCTCTAGTATTTTAACACTGCCAAAATCAATCTTATGTCCACTTTATATAGGGAAGAGGATCTCTATGACTGATCTTAGTCCTTTTTATTGTCTAAAAGCAGAGCCATATATGCTTTCTCTTCTCCACTATATTTGAGTACATTCCTGAGATAGCTTCTCCTCACCTTGCTTCTTATCATCTGTTGGTTCTTATTGTACTGATGTCGATTACAGTAAATTTAAGAGGTATGCATTTACTATGGATTCTATTTGGTTCATTTTCGGCTGTTTCTATATTCACGTATGCGCTTTCACTGGTCCTACTATTTACTTACTTTATTGTTTGCTCAATGACTGGAAGGATTCCGTTTCACTTGCCGTTTAAATTAATTTCATTTACATGGGCGTAACTAAAACGTATTATAAGTAGCTTCCTATTTGGCTGTCATGTGGTTTGATAGTCTGAACATGCAATCTTCAAAGTAATAGATTGAAAGATTAAAAATCAATTTCATATATTCCATTTGACCTGCATGCTATATGTTAGCCATTGAAGACAGTGAAATAAACGGATACATGTATGATTCTTAAATTGCACTTTTATTAAAAAAGAAAATGTAATCAACTCCACTGACTGGCAACCTATGCTCTGTTCGATTATGATGCGCACAGTTGCTATTCGGTTCACAAATGTTCGCTTGTCTTGAAATCTAGCTTGTTCGGAGTGAAGTGCATCTTTTATCCTCTCCAGCATTATGCCACTAAGTATTTTGATTCTCATAAACAGGATCCATTTCCGCGCCAATTGTTGCAGAGGCCAAAGTATCCCTATTTCGGTACTTTGACACGTCATTACTCTCATCTCTACGTAGCATTCCTGCCTACAAAAACATTTTCCAATGGAGAAGTCAACATAACTGTTGCAATTTCTCGATCAATTTCCAGTGCTTAAGGAGGAATTCTTCACGTTCCTTCTACCTCCTGGCTTTCACTAACTGTCTCTGTTGGCAGTATATCTGAAAGAGTTGCAGGTGATGGTCGATTCAAGAGTCATTTGAAGTGATGAGCCCATTTTTTCTTTGTTTATCCTCTTTGGTATTTAGGTCCCCTTGATCATCTATTATTGCAGAATTGTATTGTATTATTATTGTAGAATTGTATTTTGTCCGGCAGACTGAGTCTCCATCTCCTTGAGAATGACATGAAGTCTGTCTGAGTTTAGGTGTGTCGATCTGGTGAAATCCATGTTCCCTTGTGTATAGCCTTGTGCTTGTACACGCTGCCTCCAATCACCAGTGCATATCATTGAATGCACAGAATTCTTTGAAGAGTTCTCCATTGTCATTCATTTCGCCGAACAAGAGCCTCTCAACCTATGGCGAATTCTTTCCCCTGTATTTCCCGCTTCCAATTTAACATTCATATTGCCTATTAGGATTTTGATTTCGTCATTTGGGACGTTATCCATTACCGTTTACCGTTGTCTACTGAAATCTTCCTTCGTCTCCTCTGGTTCGGAGTTGTTTGTAGGCGCGTAGCATTGGATGGTTGTTACTGTCCATGCTTTTGAGCTTGATCTTGCTGTCATTATCCCACTGCATTCGGGCTTTGGCTGCAGTTGGTGACATCATGATAGCCACTCCATCAGTGTGCTCGTGGTTGTCGTCTGAGTGATTGGAGTAGATTATCGACTCTCTGGTTTAACAATTTGGAAGGTCTATATTGACTCCACCTGCTTTCTCAGATTCCTAGCACTTCCACATCATGCTTTCCCATTTCTTTTGCAATGTAGATAGGCTTCCAAGCTTTGAACATCGTACGGACATTCTATGTCCTGATGCTTATATTTGCTTTGGTTGAATCAAGACACATCGGCTGACTGGCTTCGCGAAGGCTTTCATAGGCCCGCGTCATTTTGTCTCTCCGATTCTATTGAAGATACTTTTCTGTGTTCTGAAGTTTCTGTATCGATTGGATTGATTTTCTGGGGTATGGTCACTAACCCCACACTCAGTTTACCTCTTTTGACATTTAGAATTAGTTAGAAAACAAACTAATCAGTGAAATAAACGAGGTTGGATAATGGAATAGCTACTCTTTATGATCATAGTTGGATAAGTTGATTAAACTTTGACACTTTTTGGAAGATGGCAATAAGTACTACATTGAACAGGATATAATAATACAGCATATAATTAATATTGATATATTAGATAGTTGCAGGCAATCGGCAGGAGGCCTTGGACCTAGGTTTCATGCTACTTGGCACTCATCAGCAAGGCTTCCAGTCGATTGCCTCCAAATATCTAATATCACCAAGTCAGTGTGCATCGTGATGACGACCTTCCTCGATTGGTGGCCATATTGCAAACTTGACTGTCAGAATTCAGTCTGCACCAAAGAAAGGACTAGACACGTCACACTAGTTGCTAGTGTCCAATCAAAACACTCACTATATCCTGTAAACGTATAACATACTGATTTTGCAAAGCGAAAACAGATACAACAATCCAAGCATTCGAACGATTTACTGGTTTTACAAAGTAAGATGAAAATCAGTGAGTTTGCCACGTATCAGGTGATCCACAACAGCGAATTCTTCGAAGTGAAGATAACAGTAAGATAAGGCTGTCTACTATCACCGAAGATATTCCTAATTGTGATAGACTTTATTATGCGTAGAACTGTGAGTGAGGAGTGAGATGACAGGAATGCATTGGACTGATAAGAAAATCGTAGGGTATCTTGATTTCGCGGACGATTTGTATCTAGTGTCATACAAATTGGAAGGCTTACTGGCGAAAACCAACAAATTGGCAGAAGAGGGAATCAACAAAGACAGGACTGCAAGTGAATATAGAGAAGACTGAGGTGATGAAAATTTCCAATCACAATCACAAACAAGAGCAAGCGCCAATCACTGTCAAGGGAATAACTTTGAGAGAGGTCACTTCACTTATCTAGGCAGCATCGTTTCAACTATAGGCGAGGACGGATGAACATGTTGAAACCAGAATCTGAGAGGCAAGTCAAACCTTCATCACTATGAAGCCAGTTTTTGTATTTCCCAATGATTGAAATTGATTTGGAAATACAAAAACCTCTATTGTAATGAATATCATATACTTAATGCCCAAACTTTTTTAAACTGTTAAAAGTAAGCTTGGTTTGGACATATATAACTATGAAACCAGTTTTAAAATCCTCTGAACTCAGCATAATGAACGAAATTTGGATTTTCAACGCTAATGTTGGATCACTTCTATACGCGTCAGAAACATGGCGTGTCACGAGAAGTATTTCCAACAGGCCGTAGACGTTTATCAACAACTACCTTCTCTGACTCCGTTTTGAAGATCAGATGGCCGGAAAGAATTAGCAGTGAAACTCTGGGAACAAATATGCCGGCAAAATGTAGATGGGTCGGACATGCGCTGAGATGATCATGGAATTGCATGACTCCAGCCCATCGCTCGAGGGGAACCCGAATGTGTAATGACGAGTTTGGCATCCGAGGTTTATATGGAGGAGGTCGTGTGAGGAGTGAACGAGTGTTTATGGGCGATCATAGGGCCAGCTGAAAAGGATCTCAGGGAACAGGAAAATGAAGAGACGTGGTGTTAAATCTTTATGTTCCCCTCGGAATCCAACAGAACAATAATATAATAATAAATGCTTCATAATCATGAGTGGCAGTTGATATTTTTATCAATTAACTTTCTAAAATACTAACGTTCTGCCTATTTCGAAAAGTTATGTGTAAGGCGAATTCTGTAAAGCCGAGGTGAAAATTCTGAACTTGGCAGTTTTTCTAAGTTCTTGATAAACTATTTCAAGTAGGTATGCTGTTTTATGGAATCGCTATGATTCGATGTCAACCCATAAGCAGACTGCAACGTTAAGCAGTCTTCGTTTATTTGGAAATTATGTTTTAATTCGTTCGTGAAAAATCAGTGACCGAATGGTGCCTCTTTTACTAACTAAGCACATTGATTTATTTCAGACGACATAATAGACACATACTAGATAAGATGGAGATGGTAATTCAGCATTTGTGTGGTAACTCTGTGCCAATAATAATTAACATAAAAGGTGGATTAGTAACAGCTCTGCTAACGACAGTGAACTTTCCCAGTCACAGGTGTGTCTCATGTTTACTCAGAATTTGGTCATCCTGGTATCTCTTTGGCCAATCGTCTTTCGTACAGGTCGTGCTAAGCATTTCCTGTTAGTTAAAAGCTGACTTTTCGTAAGCCTAACTAGACCAGATTTAATAATTGTTTCCAAATTACACATGCTGAGTACAGTGGTATTATCGTTTAGTGTAAAGTCAAGCAGTTGTTAAATGGTTAAACTGCTTACACAGAATGCTCAGAAGCCATACTGATGACTTGCTTAAATCATTCGGATACCCATTATTCTGTAGAGCATAATGCTACAAATTTGTTCAATTTTCTCGTTTTAACCACCTAACTACCTATTTCCTTGAAGAACAATGTCTACTCATGCTCATTTATGAATGGGTATGTTTTGAAGGGATAACAACGTTAGAGGTTGGAGTATTTTTCAGAAAGAATAATATTCTGTCTAGTAATGTACTTTACTTGGAAGTTGTGTTCAAGGAGTAGATAAAAAATGATGAACATTCTTAACTGTATATAAATGTACTGTCTAGATGTCTAGAATAAAGCCATTTTTACTTATGCCACTATTATTGTAATATTAATTGGAAATATGTACAAGCTACAACTTCCACACTACTAAGTGGCTGTACCTAAATCGTTTTCAAATTTTACAAGTAGTTTAAAGGTAATATAATGAGGAATATCTTTATTTCCCAAAGATTCAGTGTCGATGTCTAGCAGTTAGTGTCTTGAAAATGCCATCTCAGGATATTATACAAAGTGACTGCAAATAAATGTATTGGCTGCCATTGTATATAGCATTGCTTTCATTACAGTGAAGAGCGTGAATCGGTAGAGGTTGTGAATCTTCAACTGAGACGTCACACAAACCAAACCAAATTCTTTTCACATTGGCCATATTGGATGAATCAGAATTCGTTAAGAAAAGAGTCAGTGGCGGTCACATCCAGATGTAACATCAAATTATTAAGTTATGTACTTTTAGTGGGTATTGGTTGCTTGGTCAGGGTTCGCAGATTCCAAGAACTAATGGTAGTTATACTTACTAACTGAAGCAAAGTGATCTTGGAATTAAAAGGTTATATTTATAAATTGGAGCGAATTTCGGAAATGAACCATTAAAGAATTTGTATTTTGATCTGGCAGGTATATTTTGTGTTATACCATTCAGTGTTGTTGAGAACATATTAACATGATGATACTACATGGGAATGATCGTTTCAGCATTAAAAGTATAAATTAGTAGTTTTTGAAAATTGTTTCTCCTCCTACTAAAAGAACTCCAAACTATTGTATTAATTCATTTAGAATGGAACATAGCACAGTAGCTTGTGCTAAGTAATTTAGCTTGGAGGAAACAACAATTTCAACAAAGATTTTTCCCCTGAACTTTCTGTTTTCTCTGTAATTTACCCTGCCACCAAATGACTTGTTATCTCATTGAAACAGCAATAATCTATGTTTATTTTTATTTTTTCTCATAAGCCATCTGCTGATTCTCTTGGTACCTTGGATAGTGTTTCTCAACCTCGTGGTCATCAAAACTCATGTAATAACAGTGGTAAAGTATTAGTAGATGCTGCTAGTATTAGTCTCTCTGGTTGGAGTGAAGATGCAGTTTCACTGAAGACATTGGATCGTCTCATCGGCATTACACGTCAACAGACAGCTGGAGGGAATGACTACGGAACTGTCCTAATTAATGGTGTTGGTAGTGGAGGGACTAGTGGACCAACTTACTTAGCTACTGAACGTATTCAGGAAAATGGTGAATCACCTATTAATTCCTCAACTTCAGCTCTAGAACGGAATATTCTAAATGATCAAGATTCAACAAATTTTACCTTCGCTAGTTCTCATATCAATGGTTATGCAGGTATGTCTGCCTCGGCAGCCGATTCAGTCAGTCAGCACTTAACTCAAACACTTCCTGTTTATCAACAAAATATTCCACGTGTATCTGGTGAGGTAAGTTAACAGTTTCATGGCAAGTGATCAGTAAAGAAGTTTATGGTATTAATAAATCGTGTTTGAAGGACAAAGTAATTTTATTGTGTGCATTAGTTTCCGTTGTAACAATAACAATTGCTATTAAGGCGTCAATAGGATATTGGTAAAGACTAAGAATTTCTGATGCCATGAGTCACATGTACCAGGATTTATTTTTGCTTACTTTTATCCATTTCGGTTACACAAGCCATAAAAGTGTATATTCTTTGGAGCCAGACTACTGGGATAACTAAAATAGTGGTTTTATTAGTATTCATTTCATTTCATTTGTGTTGGAAACTACTCCAGAAGAAACAGGTTATCGAACAATAGATTAAAATTGTCATTTGTTCTCAGTAACCATGTATATGACTTATTAGTGGAGTCTGCGTAATTCCAAGTAGCAATTCCTAATGACTTTTGGTGATACGGCTCAAAATCGCTCTCGTTGGCTCATTCACTCTTTGTGGTGGATTCATTAAAGCCTTGTTAGTGTACACGTAATTATTCTTTCTCGCGGAAATTTCCGTTTATTATAATTACTGCATTTCTTTTTTACCTTTATTTGTTCCTTTACGAAGTGTGACAACTTGGACGGTTGCACATTCATGGAAAGTTAGTTAGTTCTCTTTTAACTGCCTTTAAGGACATATTGATTGGTATATTCGTGTATAGATAGATTAGTTATATCAAAACTAACCATGATTTCATCATTCTCCAATTCAACGTCATTTAGTTTCCTTTTCCTTTAAATAACTATCCCATAAAATTTACTAGGAATATCAAAAAAGGTCAAAAGCAGAACAAAAATAATGGGGAAACTAATAGTCAAAACATGAATAATAGAGAATACAAGGCATCTACAGTTTTACCATATAAGGAGGGGACATCTGAGGCTCTACGTAGGATTCTCAACAAAGCAGGAATTAGTGTGGCATTCAAACCTACAAACTCACTCAGAGACAAGGTGTGTAGGCTAAACGACCCGGTTGACCCAATTAAACAAAATAATATCATATACGAAATACCTTACAATGACTGTCAGTTAAGTCAACTACAAAGGTCAAACTAGTAGGTCGGCATTAGTCAGGCTGTCGGAATATAAGAATTTAGCTAGGGTTAGAATGATTGACCCCACAAAAATAGGTAATTTGGAAAAAAGCTCAGCAATAGCATTGCATGCATAAACACACAATAGGGTGGGAGGGGGTTAAATGCTATAAAGTAATATGGGTAGGTGAAGAGAGAGAGGTCGATTACTGAGTCTTTGTCCATAGAATCTACACCCAGCACGTGCAATAGGAATGACTCATCACTCATACCGGAAATATGGAAAATATTACCAGCGATCAAATGAAGTGATGAAAAATAATGGAATTATATGAACTAAGTCAATTAGTTGTGTGAGTACCTTGATATGATTATAAGCAATAAGTTGTGCTCGAAACGTCATCAGTAAATATTACTGTATAACACTGAGACTGTCAAAGTAAATTTTACGTTTCTATATTTCGGAAGTTCTATTCTCATATCAAGTAATCAACTAGACTGTACATTCTTGTATACATGGTAAATGGGTGAAATTTCCAGAACTGTATCCGGTCAAGAGTGAAATCAATAAAATTTCAAAGTGAATAAACAAGAAGATCGGATAAAAAGACACACTGGGATAATACTGAAAAATTTGACAGTTTTTTCAATTACTTATTAGAAACGTATTAAATAACAAAATAGGCAGTAAGTTCGAATTGAGAAAAGGATTAATGTAGATAGGAATTTAAAAAACCTAAACAATTCCTATCTGCATTATTATTACTATTGTCAAGTGTTTCACTAATTATGATCCTAGTGTGCCTCTTTATCCGATCTTCCTGTTTATTACACTCTGTAATTTTATTAATTTAACTTTGGACTAGAAATTGCTCTGGAGCTTTCTCACGGATTTACTATAAACTAATAAGTGTTTATTACTATCTAAAGTTATTTCTACAAATTAGTATTTTTATCACTCGGGTGTGTGGGTCAAAACAGTTTGCGTATATTCTTATAGTGGTTATTTTTGTCATTTTCCTAATTTTCGATGTGTCCACTAAAAATATCCTCTCACAAATTGAACATCTTATTCACTCAAAAAATTTGAATTTGCTTAAAAGTGTGGCTTTTGAACCTTCTCACGGTGACTGTTATAACCCATTATTGGAGGAGTTAAAAGAATAGATATATCGCAATAATAACCATTGTTTGATATTGTGTATTGATGAAGATCACTATGTTTTCTTTGGTAATAGTGATGTGTCCTAACATTCCTTCAAATAGACACAGGCAAAGTATCCTCAGGATGGTAAAAGCCAATGTTTGGAGACTGCCGGTGATATGGCTCGAAATCGTTGTCAACTGTGCAGATACAAACAAAAACAGGCTGCGTGTGACCGGCCTCAAGCAGTTGTCCCCTGGGCTCTGCGGTCACGCAACCAACTTCCACGGTGTGGGCAGCCGGGAAGTAACAAACGCCCTCACAATCCGAAATTCACAAAAAACCTCTCTAATCCTCATTTATCTTTGTCTTCATCTTCATCTCTATTACCTTGCCTTCCTCCCACTGATGCAACTTCTCTACTTGATGGCTTCTCACTCCCTCTTCACTCTGTGTCCACTAAAAACGACGGAAGCCAAAAAACCACCACCGATAGTCTCCTAAAGCCACGCCACCAATTTCATATAGGAGCATTTAATGTTAGGACACTTTGCCAAATAGGACAACAAGCATCACTAGCTAAGACCCTGGCATCCCGAGCCATTGATGTATATTGTGTTTCAGAAACACGCATACAAGACCCAAGTGTGGTTATTCACCTAACCCCACCTGGCCAACAGGTTGAATCTTCAAAATTCACCTTGAGGTTGTCAGGAGATGCCACAGCCAGTTCACGAGGATAAGCTGGCGTAGGGATAGCTTTGAGTACTAGGGCAGAAAAGACACTGCTTGACTGGATCCCGGTAGATAGCCGAATGTGTGCTGTCCGTCTGAACGGGTCAGTAAGAAGGAGAAAGGACTGCACTACTCGCCGATGCCTTTTCGTAATCTCCGCCTACGCCCCCACTGACTGCAGTTCAGATGAAACGAAGGATGAGTTCTACCAAAAGCTGTCTAGTTTGGTGCGAAAGGCTAAACGCTCAGATATAGCCGTTCTAGCTGGTGACTTTAATGCTCTGAGAAGGATGTTGGTGGCACCTACGGAGTTCCGTGCCAGCGAACCGACAATGGTGACTGTCTCCTACAGTTCTGTTCAGATAATCATTTGTTTCTTGTAAGCACTAACTTCAAACACAAGGAGAGACACTATTTGACCTGGTGACCCCCATCGTCAAACCAACGCTGGACACAAATAGACCACATAGCAATAAGCTATCGTTGGCGTGGGTCGGTAGGAGATTGTCGCTCCTTCTGGAACACGTGTGTAGATACCGACCATGCACTGGTCGGCGCTCGGGTGGGCTTACGACTGAACGGATGTAGGAAACAGCTGGCGGTAAAACCATCACGTCCCCAGCTCGATCAGGAAACTAAATCCCTATTTGAGGAAGAACTAGCTAAACACATATCTGAGTTCGACAGCTGTGCTCACCCTGGAGAAGCCTGGAAGAATATTCAGTCAGCTATAGATACAGCTGTAAAAGCTGTGAATAAGGAGATTGTCGCTCCTTCTGGAACACGTGTGTAGATACCGACCATGCACTGGTCGGCGCTCGGGTGGGCTTCTGTCTGTCTGTTTTCGACATAGAACTTTGCACAAATGTGCGGAAGTTCAAGTCGCCACACTCCGTGTAGCACGCGAAGCAAGAGAAGAAAGTACAAGAAAAGCATAATAGAAACAGTGAGCAGAGGTGTGAGACAAAGGAGTAATAAAGAAAAACAAAACAGTTTCATTGGAGATCATAAGTCACAAGGAGTGGATGCATCTGCGCCACTGAGAACGATTTTGAGCCATGTCACCAATTGTTTCCAACCATAGATTTTTACCGTCCCGAGGACCCCAGCCTGGAAGTCTACACCTTCCTACGTGGCTTAGACCAACTGTTGTGGATTTCATTGGCTGGTGCCAAGTTTTTGTTTTACCGCCGCTAGCTGTTTTTCCAGTGGGCTTACGACTGAACGGATGTAGGAAACAGCTGGCGGTAAAACCATCACGTCCCCAGCTCGATCAGGAAACTAAATCTCTATTTGAGGAAGAACTAGCTAAACACATATCTGAGTTCGACAGCTGTGCTCACCCTGGAGAAGCCTGGAAGAATATTCAGTCAGCTATAGATACAGCTGTAAAAGCTGTGAATAAGGCAAATCCAAAGGTGAGTAAAAACCACTGGATATCCACCGCCTCATCCGAACTGATAGATGCTAGAAGACTTATTCCGGCGAGCTCCGAATTCAATGAGGAGCGAAAGCTGCACAAGAGGAAACTTACGAAAAGTCTCCGCAAGGACCGTGAACAGTGGTGGCTGACAAAGGCAAAAGAGATGGAAAAAGCATCGGCGATAGGCAACACTAGGCAACTCTTTAAACTCATCAGGGAAACGGGTGGGAGAAGGCAAATCATCAGTGAGACTATTTCTGAGAAAAATGGCTCCTTAATTAGCTCTCAGGATAGACGCCTTGAACGCTGAAAAGAACACTTTGAGAGACAATTTAACTTGCCTACAGCCACACTGAACCTCCCTGCCATCCAGCACAAATCCGAATGGGATATAGACACTGGTCCGCCGTCTGTAAGTGAGGTCACAAAAGCTATCAGTAATTTGAAACGAGGCAAAGCGGCAGGATCCGACGGAATTATTCCGGTGTTTAAATATGGGGTGACATACTAGTTTGTAGATTAACTGAGGTACTAGGCAAAATCTGGGAATCAGAGACAGTGCCATCAGACTGGGGTAAGTCACTTATTATACCGATATTCAAAAAGGGAAACAAGTCCTCGTGTGATAATCATAGGGGGATCAGCCTAACGAACATAGTCTCTAAAATCCTAGGCTCAGCAATCATGCATAGACTAAGCAGAACTCGGGAGGAACAGACAAGGGAAAATCAAGCAGGCTCTAGACCAGGTAGAGGGTGCATAGATCATATCTTCACTCTTCGACATATTCTAGAACATAGACACACTTTTCGGCGTCCAACAATTGTCATATTTCTTGACTTGAAGGCGGCCTTCTGTAACAACAGAAGACAAGGGCTGGCAACAGATGGTTTTATTACGAAAATCAACACGTATTTATATATATTTTATGTACATTAATAAGGCTTATGCAAGCAGAAAAAGGCAGTCTTCTGATTGGTTGTTTCACGGAAGTTAAGCAGACAAACACAGTCTTATGATTGGTTGTTTTCGATATTTCTCGGAAAGTAGAGCCATCTATCTGCGAATCATATTTGTCCACGTTTAAGTTTGCTGTGATTGGTTGTTGAAACAGCCTTGTTCATATTTTCTCACGGCCCATATTAGTGACCTAGACATTAACGTAGATTAGTGTCAACCAATCGGCTAGCAGCCTGCTCTCACCACACTTCGACTCCGTGGATCGAAAGGTACTATAGCAATGTCTGACTGTGAAGGGAGTGCCAAGAAAGTACATTGCACTAATCAAGGCACTCTATTCAAACTCACGTAGTCGTGTAAGGGCTTATGGGGAATTGTCATCTGAATTGGTAACAACCAGTGGTGTCCGACAGGGATGTCCACTTTCCCCATTTCTGTTTAACTTCATCATAGATATGCTGATGGAAGTATCCTTAACTGAACGTAATGACTTAGGAATCGACTTGTTACCAGGGAATAGTCTTATGGACTTAGAATATGCAGATGACATAGTCCTGTTAGGGGAGGATGCTGACAAAATGCAGAGTCTTCTGAACACTTTGAGCAGCAATCTCCGTATGTTTGGCATGCGATTCGCCCTTACAAAATGTAAGATGCTGCTACAGGACTGGACCACGTCAACTTCTAACTTAGTGATAGGGAGTGAAGTGATAGAACATGTTGACCACTTCACCTATTTGGGAAGTTGTATTAGCACCAACGGACTGATTGGCGATGAAATCTCAGCACGGATCCGAAAAGCTCGAGCTGCTTTCGCTGACTTACACCATCTCTGGCGTAGGCGTGACATCCGGTTATCAACCAAGGGACGTGTGTACTGCTCAGCAGTTCGCTCCGTCCTTCTCTATGGCTCTGAAACATGGCCAATACGCGTTGAAGACATGAAAAGGTTGACTGCTTTCGATCATAGATGTCTGCGATCTCTGTCTCACGTTAGGTGGTATAATAAGGTAAGTAATGTTGACGTTAGGCGTAGAGTGTTGGGCAAAGAGGGAAAATCAATCGACGAGGCTATAAAGTTACATAGACTAAGATGGCTAGGTCACGTGCTGCGCATGCCTAACCATCGCCTCCCCCGACGGGCATTACTAGCTGATATAGGTGCAGGTTGGAAAAGAGCCAGTGGTGGCCAAACAAAAACATGGCCTCATCAATCCATGAAATCCTTGACAGTTAAACTGAGTCAGGTAGGGAGATGCAGACTCCCGGGTTGGGGCCCTCGGGACTCTAGGAATCAATGGCTGGAGACAATAGGTGACATGGCTCAAAATCGTTGTCAATGGCGCAGATGTATTCAGTCTCTGTAATCTTTCATATTCCTTTCTACCATTACCCATTCTGTTTCACTCTTATACTTGTCAAACTCTATTGATTCTCTTCACTCATCTTCTTGTCTACTTTTGTGTGCTATTTGGAACGTGGCAACTCGAACTGGTGCACTTCGGTGCCAAGTTCTATGTTGAATCCAGACAGTCAGATACATTCGCTCTATGTTGATTTATCATATCCAATAAAACTTTTTTCTTCCATATAACTATTCTTTTTCGCTCACTCTTCTCTTTACAATATGTCCTTCGAACTTCCCTTTTCCCTCTTCTCTTGCTTTGTGTTACATGGAGTGTGGCGACTTTAACTTCTGCACATCCGTGCAAAGTTTTATGTTGAAACCAGTCAGTCCTTGTACTAATTTAGTCACTACTTTTTGGATACAGTCAGACATATCAATTTCCTTGGTGTATTCTAATTTTGGAGCTGCACAGATAACGCAAATGTATGTTCCTGTACAAGCGTCTCAGTGGCCTGTGAAGTAATAGGGAATCAGAATGCGTTATTTGCAGTTGCTTTTCTGTTCTAAGATCACTGTCGGTAATGCTCACTAAGTCTTTTGGTTCTGGAACACTAACGCAAACTATCCATTTAGTTGTTGATCATTGTTCTTTATCTGTCTCCGCTTTCTGTCTTATATACGCTGTTCAGTCTTTTTGAAAAACATTTACTACTATCATTGAGATCAATGCTTGTGTATTGTTTGAAAGGACACTCAAGCGTAGTCGATAATAGTTTATTATCAAAACATTTGTCTAGACTTGTAGTTGTCATCTGCTTCCACTTTATATGATGAATTTAATTCCTTGAAATTCAAGTGTTTATTGCTTGTACTCTGTCGGAAAAGAATTTTATACAAAATCGACTGGATTGTTCAACGTATTGCCGTACTATTCATGAAGGACTGCTTCATTCTTACTTGATAATTCTCATTCTTACATTTCTTAAGTCAATCCTTATGCTTTTATAACGTGAAATAAACGGAGTAAAATCTAGTTTCTTTTATTATCCAAGTTTCTTTTTACTGTTTTCATGTGAACTGCTAAATTTCAATCTAAGTCGTTCGGTCCATATGCTTTATTCTTAAACTTGCAGAAATGTACCCAATTTTGTCAAGATGTTTGATTACTTATTATCATACTATTTATTGATGTCATGTTGGAGATTTTAAACGGTGTGTAAATTTATCAAAAACAGTGTCTCAGGTTCCGCGTAATAGAAAGTTTTGAAACATACTGCACATTTTTGATTAGTAATAATAACAAAGATGATGAATACCGACACTGAAAGTTAATTAGTCTAGTTAGTTTTTATTTCAGTATCTGATAATACTTCGCTCTTTGTATATATGCATACATCTCTTCTCTTGTGTTTATAAATTTATTTTTAATGTGTTAATAACCATACACACGCTAAGTCAGTGATCTACATTATCTATTTTAATTCAGAATGATTCCTATTGTAATCTCTATGCGGGAAGTATTACAGGTGAGAATGATGAAGTTGGCAATACTAGTGGTGGAGGAGGAGGAAGGGAAACAAATAGTACAAATCAGTTTATGAATACTCAACCTGTTTCTAATTTAAGCGATGCATGTGATGGTATTGGTATTTCTGTAATATTCAGAGGTAGTTCTAATCTATTGCAAATGAATCATAACCGTAATAGTACAATGGTCAATAGAGTTTCATGTGGACGTAATAACAATGAATCCTCTTTAACATTGAACGGGCCACATATTTTTAATGCTTCCAATAATTTAGGACTACTTAATAACCCTAATCCATCAGCAATCAATAATAATTATAATCTTCAACCCAATTCTATTGAACTAACTCATATTCCGTCATCGTACAATACAAATAATCATAATACACGTCGACCAAGTGCACAAGCTACACTTGTAAATCAAGGTAGGACTAAAGTTTTATGATTATCATTAGTACATGTTTACAATTATTATCATCATTAATTATTTTAAATACTACGAATTATTCATTATTTTGTCCATGGACCGAATACGGTTTGATCGACCATTATATTAGCTAACCTAAAGTGGTTCAATGAGCAATTTTCCATAAGAAACTTTTACCACTCAAAAATTTCCTTTTATTTCCATGTCACATATATTACATGTGTAACCATGGCGAATTAGGATAAATGAAGTTACAGAAATGGTTGTATGCGTTCCCTCCAATATCACATTCAAAGAGTTCCAGTGTCTCTCCACACAGGTTTCCTCACCGATGCTACGTGTTGATTCTAACTTTGCCCTAGTGGCTACAGTGAAGGAGTTTTTTGTAGTTCTGTTCTAACGTTTCTGAGTGTTGAACTTGAATTGTGGTTTGTCCCCAGTTCTAAAGAATCTGAGATTCATCTTGAGTATTTCATCAACTAAGCGATGGTCTGAGCACACACCTGCTCCCTTCTCGACGCTGTGTCCAGCGAATTGAGTCCCCCTCTCCTCGAGACTGACATGCAGTCAATCTGAGCTTTGGTGTGTCGATCAGGTTAAATTCACGTCTTACGGAGTATAACATTCTCTTCGTACATTACCATTATTCCCTGGGGTTATGATTCGAACATACGGAATAAACAACACATTTCCATTTTCTTGTCTTCTCTGCTGTCCTCTTTAGCCGGGTCCAAGATTTACCACAATTTGAATATCTGAATGTAGAAGCAAATAAGTTATGAGAAGAGGCATAGAATGCAGGAACATAGAATTGTGACGAAGACGACAAGCGAACAACAACAAGCATCATTCAGTCCCAGAAATTCGAAGGTGGTTACTACTTTCGTTTACCTAGGCGTCATTGCTTCAGCTGCAGGTAGCACGAATGAAAATGTCAAATACAGGATGGAAAAAGAGAGAGAGACGTTCATCATCCTAAAATAAATCTGGAAAAATGCTGCACTAAGAAAGAAAAGATTCGAATTTTCAATACTAATTTCAAGCCAGTCAGTGAGTCTATATAGTTCAGAGAATTCGAGTGTCACCGGAGACATTGCCACCATACTTTCATCAACAGCTGTCTTCGCTCTACACCAAATATCAGATGGTCGGAAAGAACTAGTAACAAGAAACTTTGACAAATCGACAACCACGTACCTACTGTCCAACAAATAAATAAATACGTCGAAGACACGCTGAGGGAACAGTTGAGTGATATCACGCGGCAGGCTATCCAGCAGAGTCAAAATAGGAGACGACGAGTTGGACACCCGAGAATGACATAGAGAATATCGTGAGGAGGAGGAGAGAAAAGCTTATGGAGCAATCGTGGAGCCAGCTAAAGAGGACTGCAGAGAACTGAATGAAATAGAGATAATGAAGCCCTATTTACCAATCGGAACTGAGAGTAATAATAATAATCACTATTCTTGAGACGTTGCTGACCAACTCACAGTACTTCCAAGTGTGAATTTGGTCAAATGATAGCTTGAAACTCTTACCAGTTTACGCTTGAACTTTTTCCATCCAAATCGGCCAGATCCCATTACGTCAGTTAATTCGATAAATTCTAGTATGAAGTTTTTTACGCTAAATTGTCCTTTATTTTTTTCAATTATGTTAAACTTTCCGATGAACATGTTCCTTTTTTATTCAAGAGTATAGTCATATTTACACGGTAGAATAGGAATTCCCAGATTTGATCAAATGAACAAGTGATACTGTCAGTTGTGAAATTTCACTGTCCATAAAATGCTTAGTCCTGACCTATCAAGTACTTAATCTCAATACAACCTATGTCTAAAATTAGTGTTATCAAAAATAAAAACGAAAGAAGACTATCGAATGTTCAACTCATCAGATAGAAGAAAATATGATGAAGGGAGATGTCACAAATATACATGTATATTAATCAATTGACGAAAGAAATTTAATAGCACCCCAAAATCAAAGCAGCTGTGCAAAGTTATACAAACAAGTAAACACAAACAGACAATTACACATACAAGTAGCATGTATGTGTAAAAGGAGATGAAAGGTAGTATAAATAAATGTAGAGTTGTATTAAGCTGAGGAGAGAACGAATACAAAATGTAGGGAGTAAACTATATGGTAGAACTTGTCAAGAGGTTTAGAGCGATGAAGATGTTATAAAAAGAGTTACAGAAAGGATGATAGAGGTTTAGACGAAAATTTTAAGTGGGCAAAAATATTTCAGCTTACTTTGCATCTCCTACCACTTCGTTCTCTTTACGTATGCTTCAAGTCGGTATGAAGGAGTTGTAAAGCATTATTTTGCATTTCACTGCGGTGAATTATGGCAAACGTCTTGAGATCTTTTCTCAGTATGTTCAAAGGACTTTGGTTTTCCATCGTCTTCGTGCTATTTGGCCATAAGATTTGAAACTTTTCCGGGCAACAAATTGATTGCCGACACATTACTTTTATTTAGTTAAGTTTTATCTCTTTCCCTAGAACTGTGTCAAAGTTTCTAACTTTAAAAAGTGTAGATTTATTTATGTTTTGGCAAGAACATTTATATATGCCTATTATGGGAAATAGCCTGAAAATGTCTGAAGTATATCCATCGTTCCGGTCACCTATTATGGTATAAACTGCTTCACTCTAATGAATATCGTTTATGCGTCTAAATGTCTTAAATATCTTTTGTTTAATATATTTTTTGATGTAAATTTTTGAGTGAAAAGTCAGTTGCTTTTAGAGGAAGTAAGCAGCATCACAAGTATGCTTATGGTTCGTGATCCACACTTATAAATCCCCGGTTAACATTATACAGCAACCAGTGTAAGTTATGCAGTAAAAACACTGAAGCAGTTAAAGCGGCTAGAATTGAGGCTTAACTGTAAATTTATTTGATTAGACTGTTGTTCTAATCCTGATCATAAATTAAAAACAATTTTTCATCTTATATTTTACAGATATTAGTCACCAATGAAAGATTAGGCTCAAGAAAAGCAGTTTAGCCTATATAAAATATCCACTTATATATAAGAATTGTTCATAAATTGGTTTCTAAGTATTGATTTTTTACTGTAGTACTTTCTTAGATGTTCAGCGAACTGGAACCTGCATGGCATTAAGTCTGGACGCAAAGTTGATTTGATACTATGCTAAATTACAACTAGTCATCCTACAGTGACATATGTGTGAGGTGAGACCTATATAGCTATCCAGTTATGCCTTTGACATCAATATTACACAACAAGTTAACGTACTTCTAGTTGAGCGTTAGCGTTTTCCTATTTTCATCTACCTGTTAACATACATCAACAGAAGAATAGTTTATTTCTTTTAGTTTTTTACGATTAAATGCATATCTGCTCTTTGATCACACTATGTGCACCCTATAGCTTTAATCAAATAATTGTTTTCGTTTATACTTAACTATGAATTAGTCAGTTTATTTACTGATATACCTTTTTTCAGTTTTCTGTGCACAATCGTCTGATCAGTCACCTAGTGCAAGTCGTTTCAGTTTTATCTTTTCTCCACTAGACGTAAGTGCACCACATGCTTCTCAAGAAACACTGAGTACAGCTGCATCTCAGACATCTGTCCTACTTGGTTCACCGTCTAGCCCAAGAAGTTTTCAACCCGTTAGCACTTCAACAGATCATTCTACAGTGAATCTCAATGAAGCTAGTAGTGAACTGCCGTATTGTACCAGTCGAACGGGTACCATGCTGCCGTCATCCCGAATGCCAAATTAATTTTCTTCCTTCAAGTTTATTATTACCATATTGATAATAAATAATCCTTGTGTTGTTTGTTTGATCTGTGGTTGATTTTATTGACTCTATTTCATTATAATCGTCGTGTTTATAAAACAGTTAAATTTCAATTGGACATATGCATATTTTGTAAAAATCAAAACAGGAAATTTCCCTGAGTAGCTTTGTACATTGCTTTCCAGTTATGTAGTGATATTGTTTATGTTAATCCTTCTGAATGCCTTTTAAAAATGAAAATAATGGGTCCATATAAGCACATATATTTACTACCATGCACACACACTTTTCGCAGTTGATATATCAGTCTAAATTTAATTTTGCTATTACTATTGTGTTTGAAAGCAGTTCTGTTCCCCTGTTTTCTTTATCGTTTAGAGCAAAATTTGTGTAGTAGTAGTCTTTTGACAACTTTTCTAGTATACTTTATTATTTTCACCACTAAATAATAATTAATATAATTTTTCTCCATGATTGCAGACTAGTTCATTCATTCATTTAACCTTTAAAATGGACTAAAAGTGACCAATGTCTAGTTTAAAAAATGGAAGAAAAAATCATGTGAATGCGAATTCGTGTTGCACTCATATACGCCTTACTAGGTTAACTTTCTCTCTCTCTATTATCTACCAAGTTCAATGTTGTTTTGTTTTTAGTGATCAGTTTTTGCCCATTTACAATTTTCGTCTAAACCTCTATCATCCTTTCTGTAACTCTTTTTATAACATCTTCATCGCTCTAAACCTCTTGACAAGTTCTACCATATAGTTTACTCCCTACATTTTGTATTCGTTCTCTCCTCAGCTTAATACAACTCTACATTTATTTATACTACCTTTCATCTCCTTTTACACATACATGCTACTTGTATGTGTAATTGTCTGTTTGTGTTTACTTGTTTGTATAACTTTGCACAGCTGCTTTGATTTTGGGGTGCTATTAAATTTCTTTCGTCAATTGATTAATATACATGTATATTTGTGACATCTCCCTTCATCATATTTTCTTCTATCTGATGAGTTGAACATTCGATAGTCTTCTTTCGTTTTTATTTTTGATAACACTAATTTTAGACATAGGTTGTATTGAGATTAAGTACTTGATAGGTCAGGACTAAGCATTTTATGGACAGTGAAATTTCACAACTGACAGTATCACTTGTTCATTTGATCAAATCTGGGAATTCCTATTCTACCGTGTAAATATGACTATACTCTTGAATAAAAAAGGAACATGTTCATCGGAAAGTTTAACATAATTGAAAAAAATAAAGGACAATTTAGCGTAAAAAACTTCATACTAGAATTTATCGAATTAACTGACGTAATGGGATCTGGCCGATTTGGATGGAAAAAGTTCAAGCGTAAACTGGTAAGAGTTTCAAGCTATCATTTGACCAAATTCACACTTGGAAGTACTGTGAGTTGGTCAGCAACGTCTCAAGAATAGTGATTATTATTATTACTCTCAGTTCCGATTGGTAAATAGGGCTTCATTATCTCTATTTCATTCAGTTCTCTGCAGTCCTCTTTAGCTGGCTCCACGATTGCTCCATAAGCTTTTCTCTCCTCCTCCTCACGATATTCTCTATGTCATTCTCGGGTGTCCAACTCGTCGTCTCCTATTTTGACTCTGCTGGATAGCCTGCCGCGTGATATCACTCAACTGTTCCCTCAGCGTGTCTTCGACGTATTTATTTATTTGTTGGACAGTAGGTACGTGGTTGTCGATTTGTCAAAGTTTCTTGTTACTAGTTCTTTCCGACCATCTGATATTTGGTGTAGAGCGAAGACAGCTGTTGATGAAAGTATGGTGGCAATGTCTCCGGTGACACTCGAATTCTCTGAACTATATAGACTCACTGACTGGCTTGAAATTAGTATTGAAAATTCGAATCTTTTCTTTCTTAGTGCAGCATTTTTCCAGATTTATTTTAGGATGATGAACGTCTCTCTCTCTTTTTCCATCCTGTATTTGACATTTTCATTCGTGCTACCTGCAGCTGAAGCAATGACGCCTAGGTAAACGAAAGTAGTAACCACCTTCGAATTTCTGGGACTGAATGATGCTTGTTGTTGTTCGCTTGTCGTCTTCGTCACAATTCTATGTTCCTGCATTCTATACCTCTTCTCATAACTTATTTGCTTCTACATTCATATATTCAAATTCCTGTGAGACAAGCAAATCCCCTGAAAATTTCAAGACATCTAGGGTCTTCTCTGCTCGACGAGTTCCTGTTTTGTCGTTCCTTACAGCCTGATACCGTCCACCACGAGCAGGAATATCATCGGTGATAGTAGGTGACATTTTCTTACTACTGTATTCACTTCAAGGGCTTCTCTGAGTTTTCCATTGTGAATCGCTTGAGATGCAGTGTAGCAGCATCATATAACTGTTGAATGGAGCTGATAAAGTTTGGGGGCACTATACTCTAAAATAGCTAAGCGTTTTTGACACTACTTCGCAGTCAACACTGTTGAAGGCTTTTACAACGTCGATGAAGTTGAGGTTAATTCTTGACCTCCATTCTATGCTGTGTTCGATGATGAATTACACATCTATGGATATATTACAAGTTATTTGTTCTTCCAGTCAGTCGGTACTTTTCCTTCGTTCCAAACTTTCGCTAATAGTGACGTGAAGGTATCCTCTGAGGCCTGTGGGTCCGCTTTCATTACTTCTTGGACGGGTCTTTATCTGCCGCCGTTACCTTTTCGGCTTTTTGTAACTTCATGGCACCTAAGACTGCTGCTTCTGTTGAAGAATTGGTGTTCACTGGGAGTGCTATATCTGCTGGTAGTGGTAGTATTTCTGGACGCTTAGCAGGTGTTGGTGGAATATTATTCTGAAGGCCCTCCTACTCACAGGCTGTGATGTTTAAGTTATAACTGTATCATAGAACTGTCTTCTGTCGTTCCCAGAACTCTTCTTCACTACATTATTTAATTCATTCTACATCACCCTCAATTTCTCCTTTCATCATCCATCTTCACACTGCTTCATCGTGTATCCTTGTCACCACAATTAGCTTTCATATGTCCGTAGACAGCCATTCATTGTCATGCTAATTGTTTCTTCCTAAGATAGCTATACGGGTTTTCTTTGACATCACTTTGAGGGAGTTGCAGTTTTCTTCCACACATGTGTCCTTGTGATGGTAAATAGTGTTTCTAACTTTTCTCTGATGGCTGCAGTGTGGGAGTCTAGGAGATGAGTGTTGACGTTTACGTAAAGTACGGCGTATGCAAACGCAAGTTTTTATCACCTGAATCTTATGACATTTGTGCCACTCAGGCCAAAGACAAACTAAAGCACTAAATTGATTGTCCGAAATACGAGATATATTTCGGGATCGGTATCGTGGTGCAACAATGATTTTCATGCTAGCTAGAGGTTAGCATCCAATGTTGAGTGAAGAATGCTGTAGACTAATAAATTTCGGGAATTATATACCGCTACAAGTCTTTTGTAGTTTCATCTTTCAGTTTCCGGCTGTTGGACATGAATTGTGATCTATCTCCAACTTCTTTGAAGATTATCAACAGTACCTTGAGTGTTCTAGTGTTGTACCAGATAATCGTCTGAAGAAACATCTCTTCTCAATTTTTTGTCCACTTACCCAAGATTGAGATGAAATCTATCCAGATTTCGGTATCTATCTAGTAGTATAATCATAATAATTAACTAACCGACTTCACAAACACATACAACAGTCATAGGGATCTAAGTGTATATATTCGACCCAGCTAGTAGCAATTTGTCATTTATTAATATACGTCAACATCAACACATCATAATTTCGACAAAAGCTGATTATTAACTTAATAATACTTCTTATGAGAAATCAAAAAACCCATACAATCTATCGTCCGAGGATTTCATCAAGGTATTCAAATATTTCACACCGAAAAAACAACAATTAATGTAGAAAACATAGAATTTTATTTTATTTATTTCATAGTGTCTGCTGACAAACCTTGTGTTATTACATCAAACTGAGGTTTAAATTATGAGTTTAACCACTAGAGATTTGAAGTTTTCATAAAAACTTGTTCAAGAAAAATGAACGAACCGACTTATTGTCTGCAATTATCATGGAATCATGATCTTGTCTACGCCAAGTAAAATCCTAAATACAGTACTCCTCAACTTCATCGACTTCCTAAAGGCCTTCGACAAAGTTGACCGAGAGGCAATTTGGAAACTAGTTCAACACTATGGTGTGCCTCAAGTCATTGTCAACCTCATTCAACAGCTGTTCATGAGATAATGCCCCGTGTCAGGTGATCTACAACGGAAGACTAACTCAGCCAGGCGTTCGAAATGCTTACAGGAGTAAGACAGAGCTGTTTATTATACCCGATGATATTCTTAATTGTGGCGGACTGGATTATGCCGAAGACTGTGCACAGGGAGGGAAGAGACAGGAATACGCTGGACGACCGATATGAAGACTCTAGAGGATCTGGGCTTCGCAGATGATATGCATCTAATATCACAGAAACTCGAAGTTTTACAGGCAAAGGGCAACAAATTGGCTGAAGAAACAGGCAGCGAAGACAGGACTGCCGGCGAACATAGAGAAGACGGAGGTGGTGAGGATAACCAACCAACAGCAAAAGCCACCACCAATCACCCTCAACAGGAGAGATTTAAGAGAGGTTGCCTCCTTCATTTATCTGGGAAGCAACGTTTCAACTTCAGGCAGCCGGAACGGATGAAGATGTCAAAGTCGGAATCGGAATGTCAAGATACGCGTTCACCAACCTGAGCCTGGTTTGGAAATCTTCTACACTGACTCACCATAGGTAACAAGATTGGGATTGTCAACACAAATATAAAGCCAGTCAGTTCTTCTTTACGGGTCAGAGACTTGCACTGCGTGACACATAAAGGATTTCCAACAGGTTACAGGCCT